GTTTTTGCACGGAGGAGCACACCAAATGTTGGAAGAAATGGTTTTGACTTTGAAAACACCACCCACTGCGCGTGCCCGCAGCAGCTGCATTTAACTTTCAATTGCAGATGCCCAGTTGCTTCAGCACGCCGGTGTGGGCTGCCGGGCGTGCGACGGGCCAGGGACACGCATGTTGTTTTTGTTTTGGAACCCGTCCAGTCGGATTGGGTTGCCTGGGTATGATTTGTTTTGTTTTGGATTTTGTACGTATAGCTGACCATGACTAGGGACACTGTTTGGAAAGAACCAGCGGTTGGACTGGGTTGACTGGGTGTGACTTGCTTTTGTTTTGGGATCCGTACATGTAGCTGACCATGGTTTGAAGGCGCTAGCTAGCAAGCCAGAGAGCAACTGGTGACTTTGTACTACAACTTGAGTACGCGGAGCAATCTGTGCAGCTAGAAGCTGAGAACTGGCGACTTTGTAGTACAACTTTCGTACGCGGATGAGTCATCTCTCGCTGGTGAGTCATCTCTCGCTGCTGAGTATCTGGGGAGCTGGAAAGTGAGAACTGGCGACTTTGTAGGACAACTGTAAAGTACGCGGAGTTTTTGGCAAGCTGGACAATGAAGACATGATTTTGACTTTGAAAACACCACCCACTTCGCGTGCCCGCGCCAGCTGCACTTAACTTTCGCTTGCAGATGCCCAGTTGCTTCAGCACGCCGGTGTGGGCTGGTGATCTTGCTTTGGCGCAGACACAACCCAGTGCGCTGATCCTGCAGGGAGCACAGACCTTGCACAGGTGGCGCTGTGTGTGTGTGTGTCAAAAGTCCGGAGCGCATGCGTTTGGCTCAGTGAGTGACACGAGGGACACGCATGGTGGAGAGAACGTGGACACTCCTATAGGTCAATTTCTTCTTATAGGAAACTTACGCCGCCGGCTTGCCCGGGAACTACTTGTAGTCTATTTCAAGAATTCTAACTAATAGTTAGAATTCAAATAAACTAATAGTATAAACTAGGGGATAATTTAAAGTCTATTTTGTTGAATAGACTCAAGTCTATTTTGCTAAACAACCTTGGAATGTCAAGATTATGTTGGAAAAACATGAGATCTTGTAAAGACATTTTGTTAATTCGTTTTAGGTGTTTGTGGTCACACTTTTGAAAGCACAAACTTGAGCAATGTGTGTGGCCTAAGTAACATTGAGCAGAGCCTAAGTAACATGGCCTAGGTAACCGTACATGGCCTAAGTAACATGCAAATTTTCTTTCAAACTCACATCACAAAGTATTTTTGGTGTCAAGTGTCGTGGAAGGCTCACAAGCTTCCAGAGGATCAGCAAGACTGACAAAAGGGTAGATGTTGTAGTTTCGTGAAGAAACAAGTTTTGTCTATGTTTGTCCTAACTAGCATCGCACACATCTCCTTTCTTTGCTTTGAGCACCTGTAGCACACATGGCCGTCTCTAAGGGAATGAAGGTGGACCCTTCCAGTGGTGTGATGGACCTTCAAAGAGTGCTGCCAAAGGAAATGAACAGAGGAGCTGACAAAGATCTGTTTTCTTGTTTGAAGCATCCTACCAATGCTCAGTGGAGTTGGAAGACAAGTTCTTGTCCTCAATGGATGGCTCAATGTCATGAAATGTTGGTGTATTTCTTGAAGATTGCACCAAATGGGCTACTATAGGTCAGCCAAAGTTAAGCTAGCACTACAGAGGATGATCCAAGACTGTTCAAAAATGGTCAACAAAACACACTTCCATACAGCTGACTTTGTGGACCAGGTAGATCAAAGGATTCGTGTTTTGCTTGCACAAGCCAGAGGCATCAAGAAGAACCATGAAGCTTACGCAACAGCAATGAGGAAGGCCACCTTCGATTCCAAAGAGAAGGTTGACACCATTTTGGAACACCTGCAGTTGGACGGAGCTGATGACAGTACTCCTTCGACAGTACTCGCTCCACAGCTGATGACAGTACTCCTTGCATTTTACTTCACCAAATAGGTCAATATTACGTATACAAGCCCAAACAATATCTCAATAAATATATGGAAATATTGCGTTTTAAAAAGTCAAATTCAACTATGACACCAAAGTGACACAAAAGTGACACTAATAGTGCCACTTTTATTTTGAAACTGCAACTTTTTCAGTGTAGTTTTAAATAAAAGTGACACTTTAAGTGTCAGTTGCAATGTAAAAGTTGTCACTTTTGTGTCGCTTTTGTGTCGCTTTTGTGTCGGTTTTGTGTCGCTTTTGTGTCGGTTTTGCGTCGGTTTTGTGTCGCTTTTGTGTCGGCTTTGTGTCACTTTTGTGTGTGTCACTTTTGCGTCGCTTTTGTGTCGCTTTTGTGTCACTTTTGTGTCGCTTTTGTGTCGCTTTTGTGTCACTTTCGTGTCGCTTTTGTGTCGGTTTTGTGTCACATTTTGTGTGTGTGCCTCACTTTTGTCGCTTTTGTGCCGCTTTTGTGTCAGTTTTGTGTCACTTTTGCGTCGCTTTTGTGTCACTTTTGTGTCTCTTTTGTGACACTTCTGTGTCAGTGTTCAGTACTTTTATGTCAGTGTTATAATATGTTTCATGTTTTGCTTACGTCTTTTGTGATTTTGTTTGTTAAGTTCGTGTAGGTTAGTTGAAATGGCACAGTAGTATGAGTCCACTGTGGTTATCTATCTTGAAGCATTTGGCAACTTGTATTATGTTTGTTGTGTTGTCTTTTGTGGCTCCAGAGTTGCTTTGTTGCAACAAAGTGTTCTTGTGCATATGACAGTAAAAATATGTAAAAATAAGCAGCACAAAGTAAAGGACACAAAACAAACCGACGCAACGAAAGACAAAACGTGACATAGAACAACTCAAACATAAAAGTGAATCTAGGTAGCATTCAGTGGGGGTCTAAGTAGCACTTGGTGACCAGCCACGGCTTCACCAAACAAGAGGGAAGCAGCTACAGAAGAAGCAGCTACCCCTGCCAAAAGTGCACGGCAGGCTTTGGCACCTACGACACCCATGAAAAGGCCAGCAGTATCAGTCAAGCCTCATGCAAAAAGCAAGGCAAAAGCACCACAGCCAAAGGCGAAGCCAACCATAGAGAAGAAGAAGGAGAAGGAACAGAAGGCAAAGCCAAGAGTAAGCCCAAAGCAGTTCCAAAAAAGCATGAAAAGGAAAGCTTTTCAGACAAAGTGCAGAAGTGGAAGCTGAAGGAAGACCACAAAGGTGATGAGCCAGAATCAGATGATGCGGGTGAAAGTGGTAAAGGCGACGCAACAGTAGCAGCAAAGAGGGACTTGTCTAAGACAAGAAAATACAAGAGGTTGTCCGATGCAAATGCAATTCACCAACGCAACTCAGAACATGCACATGGCCTCAGTAACAGTACATGGCCTATAATAAGTAACACGCACGTTTGTTTTTCACAAAATAACACCACAAGTTTTGGTATATAATTTGTATTTCCTGATGTTATTCTATAGAATAACCTCAAGGTTATGTTTCAAAATAGACTTTTTTTCAGTCTAAATTCAAGTCTATTTGAAATAGACTAATAGTTAGAAAATAATCTAGAAAAGCTGTTCCAACTATTAGTTAGGAAATAGTCTAACCTGGTCTTAGAGGTACAAGACAGCAAAGCAGTCAAGGTTGGAGGTCTTTGCTCTTAGGTTGGAGGCCGTCGAAGGCAGGTTGAGGGGCCATCGCTAGTAGGTTGGAGACAAGAAACCACAAGACAGCAAAGCGGTCAAAGTTGGAGGTCTTCGCTCTTAGGTTGGAGGCCGTCGAAGGCAGGTTGGGGGCCGTCGCTAGTAGGTGACAAGAAGCGCAAGACAAACAAGACAGCAAAAGTTGGGGGTCCATTCTAGTGGGTGGAGGCCAAAGTTCAGGTTAAAGAACCCCTTACAAAGTTTGGAGGCCTGCCTGCAACCTATAGGGTAGTCTAGAGGAGAACAGAAGGAAAGGCACCGACGCACAAGTGTGTCGAGTACCATTTCCTCCTGTTCTCCTAAGTAGTGGAACAGGTACACAGTGGGGCGTCCCTCACTGCATCAGCACCTGCTGGCGTCCTCTTCGTTGGACGGGAAATGCCAGAGGTGTCCCGTCCCCCTGTTCCAAACCTTAAGGTTCCCTTTGATTCCAAGGGTTACACACACACACGGAGCTGGAGATCGGCGCTCGCTCCTTTTTGTCCGCGGGGAAAGGGGGAGAAAGAGGGTGTGGGAGTGCATAAACGAGCCTGGATGCCAACCTAACAAGCCTGAAAGAAAGAACAAGGCAAACGAAAAGGGCAAGGAAAGAAAGGAAAGGTGCAAGGGGTGCAGGGGTGTGTCCACACCTGTACCAAAGGACACCACTCCACGCAAGTTGATTCAGTTACTGGCAAAATTTCCAACCCGCAGGCAGGGGAACTGGGCACTCTGTGACTGACCCAGTTCAACGGAGCTAGGTCACAGAGTGGGATATTCGGACTGATCATCCGAACATACTTGCAGCTTCTTGATCAGATGATGTAAACAGTATTGTTTCCGACCCCTTCACCTTGCTGTTTGCACAGGACCCTTCACCTTGCTGTTTGCACAGGGCCATTGCAGGTTCAGGTTTCAGCGCTCTAGATTGGTACTGTAATCACTAGAGTGGATTGCCTTAACGTATTTAGCTCTTGCGAGCATCAATCTAAGTGTGTTCAGTTTGTGTTTGTTCTATGTTCTGAATCTGTGTTTTTGGTTTTCTGCTATCAGTGTGTGTTTGTTTTGTTTTCTTTTGTGTGCGTGCGTTCTGCTATCAAGTTTTCGCAAGAGAGTCTTCGAACTCCAACTTTGATCTGTGATTTTCTAGTTTTGATCTGCTTTCTTCGGTGCTCTTGAACTTTAAGCTTTCACGGAATGTTTTCAAGAGTAAAGTGTAGGCCGCCAGCTCACAATGCCACACCCAGACGACGACGTCGGTGTGTTCGGCGGTGTCCAAAGGACCCAACTCAGTGGGGACCGTGTCGTTCGTGTTCGCCCGCAAACCGCCCGTTGGCAGGGGGAGCGATCAGCGCGCAGACCCTGGAAGTTGAAGGGCGCATGGAGATCAGGAGCAGATCGACCCCCAATCCGCCCGATCAATTTGCGCCCAAAGGAGGAACCACCAGCTTGGCTCCAGAGGTTCCAGCCGTGGAAATTTGGGATGTTCATGTTTTTTGTCCATAGTTCGGCGCAGACTTGAAAGTCACTGACCTTATGGCATGCCGGATTGAAACAGATGAGGATATATACATCAGATCAGGACCTTTGGATTCTGCAGTTGATTGGCCGAGACACCCAATGGTTTGATTCAAAGCTTGCACCATGGGGTCTTATCTTTTTTGCCCTGTCGCAGCACAGATGTCCAACCCAGACGCACGACAGTCATTTTTAACGCTATTATGTAGGAGGCCATCGCTAATAGGTTGGAGGATGTTAGAGGCCAGTCCTATTAGGCAATTAGGTTTTAGGATGCAACGCATTCATTTTTACATGTAAAATCGATCTTGCCGACGGCGTGGTTCGGAACCGATCTCTTCGGCGCAGGAGGTCCAGGGCCTTTGAAGGGGGCGGCATTGCTCTCACCCACAAAATGATCATGAGCAAAGGGGTTGCTTTGCAGAAAAATCGGAGGGGTGACGCCCTTGGCCGGCTTATGACCGGCGGAGAGGGAGGAAAACCCACCATGTTTTGTAAGGTTCTGTGATGGTTTAATGTCCTGATCAATGTTTTGCTGAATTTCTTTGCGGATTTGTTGCCTCTTCACGGAGCACGGGTCACCAAATGCTTCGTCACATAGAATCCCATGCCCATTCAAATTGGCGGAAGCATAAATCTTGACAATGCTTCTCACGCATGTGCCGCTGAGGATGTGTATATGGAAAAGTGCTTTGCCCATACTCGCGGCGGTTGCATTTTTGCAATAAGCATGGTAGTTGCGAGTGGAAATCTCGATCTGAAGGACAGAAGGGTGGCGCACTGTCGCAGAGAGACGCTGCAGTAGAGACCTTGTTCGTTGTAGACCAGGGAAATAATTTGTTTGGCCATGTGGGAATGACTGGCATGTCAAAGTAATCTGGTTGAGAAACCGATCTCGGGAAGCCTGGTCGCATAGCAGGAGGCCTCAGCAATGCACACTGGCGGCGCTGTGTTTGTGCAAGGCATATTCAAACAGTTGGATGGTCGCAACTGGGCCTGTCGAGCCAATGGGCCCGGGGAGTGGAGCCGTTCGTGACTGAAGAATGGTGAAGATGAGCTGCTACTCGCTTTTGTTAACACCCCCAGGCTGAAGATGCAAGTGTGAAGAGTCTTCTTGAAAAAGAAGGCCATGCCACGGACCCCGCAAGAAGTACAGTAATTATCCTTCTCCGCCCTTTTTGTTTATAAACCTGTGAAGGACCTGTCCAATTAATTCAATTTCTATGTAGCAGCCGCTCTTTTTGACGTTGTTTTAAGAAGTCACTTCGAGGAGCCCCTCGCAGTCTTTGTGCAAAATTGCCTTTTGCGCGGGCTCCTGGGTAAGGCTGTCCACTATATACATAAATATATTGACACTTCGCCAACCGGCGATGCGCTTGGGGGGGACTGCGCGTATCCGTAGGCTCTTGCGCAGTTTCTGACGCCTGCGCATACATGCACACTCCCACCCAGGTGTACGCACGAGGGTCTGATGTAAACAGCCTGGCAACCTCAGCTTGAGACACGCGCGCCCGCACACGCACCCGCACGCGCACCCGCGCGCACACGAACGCACACGCACTCGCGCACACGCCCGCCGCCCGCCCGCCCGCGCCCGCACGCACGCACGCACGCACGAGCCACCTTTGCGTCAACGCAGGTAGCTTTAGGCTAGCGCAAAAGTTTTTATAGTGTCTTTCAGCATTTTCCACTACAAAGTCCTCATAGTTGAAGAAGCCACATAAGCCCAGCTGGTGCTAGAAATGTCGGCCGCAAACCGACAATGTGGAACATGATCAAAAATGGCTACGGTAAAGCTTTATCTCTAGAGAAGAAAGTATACAAAGGAGAGAGGAAGTTTTGCGGTAGCATTTGTGTCAAGCACCATTGGCATCACCAGAGTACGAGCAGCAATTGTTCATAAACTACATACATTTTGCAAAAAAACATAAATTTACAGTGTTTTGCGCCTAGTCATGCACCAAAGGGTTACCAAAACTTGTCTTCAAAATTTGTCACTATGTTCAACGCTTGATTTTCTAGACGTTTTGCAGCGACAAGCTCTACAGTAGCCATGTTTGATCTGTTCATCTATTTTTGCCGTTTTGTGATGGAGCCGCATGAGCGTCGTTCAAAAACCCACCTCCACTTTGAATCCCGACTAATTATCCGGCAAGAGATCCCAAACAGTGTTTGTGTGAGGTCTATTAGCAGAAAGTCTAGGGATCTAGACGCATTGGGGCCCAGAGAGGTGAAGGTGGGGATCGTGGTGACGGTGGCCGTGGCGGTGAGTGAGTGTGAGTGTGAGTGAGAGGGAGAGTGAGTGTGAGTGTGAGCGTGAGTGAGTGCGTGAGTGAGAGTGAGAGTGAGTGTGGATGAGAGTGAGTGTGAGTGAGGAGTGTGAGCGTGAGTGAGAGTGGGAGAGAGTGAGGGAGTGTGAGTGTGAGTGAGGGTGGGAGAGAGTGTGTGAGTGAGTGTGAGAGTGAGAGTGAGTGTGAGTGTGCGTGTATGAGTGAGGGTGCGAGTGAGAGTGAGTGAGTGTGAGAGTGAGTGCGAGTGCGCGTGTATGAGTGAGGGTGTGAGTGAGAGTGAGTGAGTGTGAGTGAGAGTGAGTGAATGTGAGTGAGAGTGAGAGTGAGATGGGTAAATAGCAGCGAATTAGCCGGTCACGGCCGCGTGCTTCAGCGATCTAAGCATCAGCTTTCCCTTTCAGTAAGAACCCCTAGTGTGTCCACACTGTTTGGGGAAAAAGCCTCGCCAATTAAAGAACACCACGTCCGAAACCCAAAGTACAGTTTATATTTGTTTTAAATTACTGCCCTTTTTCAAACCGCTACTAAACTACCAACACGGTCGATTTTGGAGGTAGTTTTTTGTATTAGGTTCCCCCAAAACTCCTTCAAAATAGGCCTCCCCTGCCTGTCTGCTTTTCGTTTCTGCTGTCAAACGGACTGTCTGGCTGTCTGTCTGGCTCTGGGCAGATTGATATCCTCTTGCCCCAATCCACAAACATGCTGCGGTTAATTATATGCGTATAAAGTATAAATTTTAACAATGGCTATACCAAAGGTGGTCTTAGAGGATATCAACCTGCCCTGCCTCTCTAGCTGCTTAGTCTGCCTGGCGCCTGGCTCCACCAAGTGCTGCACCAAGTACTGCACCTGCCACGAAATCTGCACTTCCAGGTCACCTCAAGGTCCACGAAGTGCTGCACTTGCTACGAAATCCGTACTTCCAGGTCAACAAAGTATTGCACCGGCCACGAAATCTGCACTTCCAGGTCCCTTCACAAGGTCCACCAAGCGCTGCACTTGCTACGAAGTCTGCACTTCCAGGTCAACAAAGTACTGCGCCTGCTACGAAATCTGCGCTTCAAGGCCCACAAAGTAACGCGATCCTTCCACTGACCCCATTTTGGACACCCCAATTTTCAGGGACCACCTATTTAAAAAAAATGCGACCGAGTTTCTCTTAATAGGGAGGGCGGCGCGTTTTTAAATAGGTGGACAGGATTAGCAAATGAGTTTTTAAGACTGATTTTGAGTGTACTCCTTTTGAGCGTGCTCCCACGTCAGTCGCGAAAGGTTCGCGAAGGTCCGGCGAAAGGTTTGCGGAAGCCAAGTTGGTGACCTGGGGCACCCTGCCAAAGCAATTCCTGGGCCTGGAAAAAGCCATTTAGCTCAGACTTCCAATTTGGGCGTGGAAAAAGCAATTTGGCTCAGATTTCCTTTTCTGGAAAACGCAAATTGGTTCAGGCTTCCAATGTACTTTTTCCCCGGCCTGGAAAGAGCAACCTCAGGCGAGACTTGAGCCCAGCACTTTCAGATTATGAGTCGAGCACCTTATATCCAATAGGCCAAAGCCCTTTGGATTGCGTGGTCTACTTGTCCTTGTCCCTTGTGGCCTTGCAATTTGGCCACAGGCTACTAAGTCTGCTTGTTTGCTTCCAGCCAAATTGCTTCTTCCAGGCCCGGGAAAAAGCAAATTGGAAGTCTGAACCAAGTTGCTTTTTGTAGTGTCAGGACCTGAGGCTTCAGAGCAAGGGTATCATATCACTAGTCCAAACTGCCTTTTGAGAGTAGGATAAAAATACATATGAAATCTGTGTACTTTACAGTTGAAGTGATGCTTTCTTTAAACACAAAAACCACAAACCACCAACCAGCACAAAGTGAGCAAACTGGCCTGAGCAGTCTCTTGATCATGGATAGCCCCAACGAAAATCAATTTTCGCCGACAGTGGCAAAGCCCCACGCGCGAAAGCTTGAGAAAGCTTCGCGAAGGTCCTGCGAAAGGCCTGGGAAAAATGAGAGGAATTTTGAACAACTCCCACATGAGCCCTGGTGATGCTAGAAGTGCGGGTCGCCGGCATGGAGCACGTCTCCATATATAGCAAGCGATAGACTGAATGGCACGGCGTCGCCGGATTTCAGGGGCTGACGCCCACCAGCGGGCCAGCAGGCCCGTAGGAGCAGAGGATATGTAAGGATTGCGTTGGAAGGCGGTAGGTATAGATGTTGGTACGGTGGTGGCAGCAGCAGCAGCAGCAGCGCCAGCAGCACCAGCAGTTGTTGTTGTTGTGGTGGTGGTGGTGGTTGTTGGTTGTTGTTGGTTGTTATCTCCCCAAAATGAATGGCTGGTTGGGTAGGGACATTTTGGGATTTGAAACATGTAGGGGTTACTCCTGATCTTGATGCCATTTTGGCTCAAGATCGGGAGGGAAGTCTTTTTCCGCCATGCCGCGCATCACGCGGTCGACTCCGGCGGTTTGGAACCCCGGGGCTCGACGTTGGCGCCGCGCGCATAGGGGATCGGACCCCTCCAATCTGTCGCCAGAGCGACGAGCTGACCTTGGCGCGAGGTCAGCCTATATATTGGCCGTGTGGGCTATTGAGCGCCGGCCTGACATTGAAGCAGATCACTGCCGGTGCTGTGGGGACTACACGGCCTCGTGGTGTGAGGGCTGCTACGCTCGGCAGCCCGACTCCTTCGGTGCGGTGTGCACCGCCTGCGATCGGCTAGAGCTAGTCTGTGACCAGTGCCGGTTATTTCGCGGTGTCACGTGGCATCATGGGCCATGCCGCGTACCTCGACCAAGGAGGGCACGACACCGAAGAGCAGGTCGAGATCTCCGGGTGGGGTGACAGGTCCAATCCACCCCATTTCCAAGATGCCACCGGCCAGGTCCCCATTGAGGAGGTCGCAGAGGTCTTCGGATTGTCCGTCGAGCGGACCAGGGAGCTCATCATTGAGCAGTTGTCCAGCTCCCCCCAAGCAGCCTCCGGTAGATCCGCCCCCAGTTCGACAGGGTAGTGCGGCTGCCGGCCCTGTCCCTGCAGGCCCGCCTCCAGATCGCCGAAGCCCACGGTCGCCATCTCGTTCGCCTGCCGGGGTGCGGCGTCAGGTGATGGCCATTCGGCACCGCAGGCCATGGAGGCAGAGCTTTTGGAATTGGTCGCTGACCACTCCGATGCCCTGGTATCATTGTTTTGTCACAATGGTGTACAAACCTGCCAGGACGTGGTGGGCATTTGGGACAATGGAGGCGCTTTGGTGGAAGAGCTGGAGGCCAGGCAAAGGGCCCTAGGCTCGGAGGAGGCCTTTCAGGTCAGCGCCCTATGGACATTGGCACATCGTCGAGCCAATGATCATCACCGACGGGTCTTGCAGGCCGTGGTGGGCAATAGGCGCTCTGTGGTGGAGACCCATTCGGTGGTGGCCCCGCCGTCCGAGGAAGGCCCCAAAGGCCGGGTACGGCAGCTCCTGGCGACCGGGATCCCAGGGCGGCCACCGATGCTGCATTCGGCCGCGGCATCGGACCCACACACCAAAGAGGTGGCAAAGAAGGCCACGAAGACGCAGGCCCTATTTGATGTTTTGGTGACCAATTTCCTCAACCTGGAGGAATTGGGGGTCACCTGGGCTGACCTTGGAGACCCGGCGCGGCTCCAACAGCTCAAGGACCAGGTGACGCATTGCTGGCAGCTTTGAGACGGTGGCTACGCTACGCAGCCAGCAAGCAATATACAGTCAATGCACCCACGCCGCTTCAACTGGGTGAGTTCTTGCGCATGGTGGCCCAGGGTGGCCCAACAGCAGCATCATCCATGTATCAGGCCCTCAAGTGGTTTCGCCTGAACTTTGGCCTCCCCTTCAACACGGATCATTGGTTGACCCAGCCGTTTCGGTTGTTGCCCCCTGATCATCAGGTGCAGCAGAGGACGGAATTGCAGCCATGGGAGATGGTGAATCTCCTTTTGATGATGAAGCAGTCCTCCGGTACGCACCTGTTGATTTTGACATTTTTGGTGTGGGCCGCAGTATCTTGCGTGCGCTTTGAACATTTTCAAAGGTCACATTACATTGAGGCCCACAATGTTTGATCTTTGAGTGCTCACAAGGCAAAGCCCGGCGCAAAGGAGCGCGTCCGCCCTATGCCTGGGCCATGCCTGAGCTTGAGTTTCAAGGCCTCAGCTTGCAGCGTATCGTGCGGGACTTCGTGACTGTTGAGCTGGACCCGGCACGGAATTTCCTGTGGCCCTCGTTGCAACTGAGCGCTGATGACCTCTGGGAGGTCACGGAAAATACGGCCTGGCTCATTGACCGCAAGATGTCCAGGGGCAGGTATTTGGAGTTGCTACGTGGTGCCCTCCTCACTATGAATGTTGACCATGCCCAGGCCCGCAGTGCAGGGTACAATCGACTACGTCGGTTCTTGCCGACCATGGGGTTGGTGTGTGGCTTGCAGCCATCTAACCAACAAGCCGTGGGCAACTGGCAGGAGATTCCGGGTGCAGGAGGACCCCAGCCAGTGCGGAAGAGCAAGGCTACATGGTCTATGGGCGTGCATTATGCAGGTCAACGAGCGATTCACTCGGCAGCTGTCAAACGCGCCCTGATCCAGAGGTTCCTGCACTTGCTGCGCCGCAACTCCCAGAGTTAGCTCTCAATGCCCAGGGTCTCGTGGCCCGTGACGCCTGGACCTGGCAGGAGCTGGCCCAGATGAATGAGAGCTTCGGCCCGCTGGAGGCAGCCTTGGCACAGGATCCTGGGTGGTCCCCTTCGCCTGAAGGCGCTGCGGCGGCTGCAGCCTCGCAGGTAGCAGCGGAGGCCGACCAAGTGAAGGACGAGGAGATGGACAACGCCACACCGCCCGAGCCCAAGGAGGATGATGACGTCCAGTCCGTTTCATCGTCTACGACCTCCTCCTCAGCATCAGACTGTTCAGCCATGGGCAGTGACTTGGAAGGCGTGTTGGCCGAGGCTAGTGCGGAGGCAGAAGCGAGATGGTTCGTGCAGAGCCGGCGGGCCCACATCGTCAGCGGCATGGTGGAGAATCGGCAAGTTCCCTACTGCCGTGATGCCCCGTTCATCCAGGACCCAAAGAGCCAAGGCGAAGGATTTGGCCTGGTGGGACGCAGCTCCTTCTGCCAGCGCTGCCTGGCACGCATGCCTCGAGGGCTGTATGCAGCCTTAGCCGACAAGTGCGGATGGCTGCACTGACCCGTATGAAAATGGTGCGGTCAGCCAGGACTTCACTTGTGGGGGGGCGTTGGGTCGGGGGTACGAGATTGACTGAGTCGCCGACCGTTCGATCGCCGCCCGTGTTTTGATGTTAAGTGTTGATCACAGTGGTTTCGGTCCCTCTAGACCTCCTTCCAACCACCCACCTTTGCTGTTGGTTGTTGTTGGTTGGTTGTTGGTTGGTTGGTGGTTGGTTGTTGGTTGTTGTTGGTTGTTGGTTGGTTGATGTTGGTTGGTTGGGTGGGTGGGTAAGCGCTCTCCCCAGTGGCCTGCGAGGATCCAGCCCGGGTGAGCTGAGCCCGCGGCTAGGGGCGCGCCCCCTATACTACCTAAAGGTAGAGGCCTTCGGCCTTCAGCCTGGACCTTTGGCCACCAAGGCGGCCGACCCCAGAGCATTGCTTGGGAATTGACTCAAGCTTGTCGTTTTCTCATCCCCCATTTTTTTGACGCGATTGCAAGGCTTGCCAGGATTTGCAAATATACCACAACGCCTATGTAGACTTGACCTATCCATGCCATTTCCAGATCTCAAGGAGCTCGACGCCTCTGAAGGCCCACCAAAAAAAGAGGAGAGGAGGCAGGAAGAGAGGAGGAGGCACGAGCAGAGAAGGACAGGAGGAGAGGAGGAGCAGGACAGGAGGAGAGGAGACATGGGAGGACAGGAGACAGGAGCAGGACAGGAGGAGAGAGATTGAACGATCAATGAACAGGAAGTCCATGCTTTCACCGTACTCGGTCCCGCGCGCGCCGCCCGAATGCCCGAAGCTGGGGTGGCGCGGCGCGGCGCGGGGGAATTGAACCACCGCAGAGTTCGAAAACGCTGGGGCGAAAGCCATTTCCCGCATGGAGGGCGACCTCTGAAGCCCAACCCAAGCCAAGAGAGAAAGAACAAAAAACAATTAGCTGAAGCCACTAATGTCGCAGGATCGACTGGTGGGCTGGCTCCACGAAATGGCTTGCGCTTGGGTTCGGCCAGGGTGTTGTCTCCCATGGTTCTAGGGCGCGCGCTTTCAACTTACCGGAATCCACTAATTGGACAACTGCTGATAGCCGAAAAATGAGTGGTGAACTCAATCCAGCTGCCTGTCAACTCTTGGTGGGCCCAAGAAACTGGAAGTGCGTGAGCCCAACAAAAAGGTTTACCGGAAGCCAGTAAATTGAAATTGTCACCTGACTTTCCTTGCCTGGGCATTCCATGCATCCTTGTGACATGGGGTGTGCACTAGACACATGGCATGACAAAGGCGAACAAAACCAAGGGAGCAAATCGTGTGATCCATAGGGTTTGGATCTGAGCCTTGATCCATGCAGTATGGATCACTGTCATGGCAGTGTGGAACGATCCATACCAGGGCTTTTGGGCATGTGAGACATATTTATCCCGGTATACCGAGCTTATCCTCACGAGCACGCCGGCCACGTTCCGCTCACGCTCACGTTCTTGGTCCTAGAACGGGGTTGGCGGATATAATATAGATGCCGTTTCACCCTCCACATTCGGGAGACAACCACACAAAGACATTGAAGACCAGAAGAGCACTTTGAAGGTATGTGGCATTGCCAGTACATGATGGCCAAAATCGGTTGAGCCAGATGATTTCTATTGCATCATAAGGTTTATATAAGCGTTGCTCCTGTGGACTGTCCATTGGTTCATTCTGTTTCGCTCTTCGCTGGAAGATCTGTTGTCAAGAAGGAGTGACGTTTGGCTGCTTTGTAGTTCGCCAAAAATAGCGGTTGGTCCGGACATGTTGCTAGCTTGAAAAGCGTTGAAATGTGAATGGTGGTGGCATGTTACGTTGATTTGAACCAGAAAACTAATGTATATATGCTTACAAAAAGGTCGATGGCAGGTATATAGGGCTACACGACTACACCAAACAAACAATTCGCCCAGTTCGCAGGCCAGTTTGCTGGCGTCGGATGAGATGCTTTGTGTTTGGGGTTCAGGCCTCAAGTGTTTCTCAGGCTCAGGCTCAGAGAAAAATAGTAGGACACCTCAAGTCCCTGAGCATATTCACAAATGTGTCGCTTTCCACGGTTTCAGCAGGGACAAATAAAAGTAGACCTTTCCCGATCAATCATTCTAAAAATATATATACACCTTATTCCTTTTGCCAGGCATTCTTTTTGCGGGTCCACACAGCGGGCCACTTCAGACTCCAGACCCATACACCATCATACACCCTTTCTTCACATCCGTGAAGCCGATGATCCCCCCCGGCTTCGAACCAAAACACAAGGCATTGCCGTGGCCAATTCCTCGGCCGCCTTGGGCGGGGGCATTCGATGCTCTTGCGACTTGGAAACATCTCCACGAAAAAACCAAGGGCGACTCGAAGTTTTGGGGTGTTCCATGATTTGAGAACATACTCTCAAGTTCAAAACATCAAGCACCAAGCAAGTTGCTCGTTGCTTCCTGAAGTTCCTCACTTCCATTGCGCACAGAGGCAGGGTGACACATCGTACACAGGCGGAGTCCAGAAGTTCGGTTCATTTTCTTCAAGAAGTCTGACTGGATGCAAATCGTGATTCATAATGTTAGCTGCAGCACCATTTGGCTGAGAACCAGCACCATTTGGCTGAGAGCCAGCGCCCGGGTATTTGACCGGCCGAATTACCGTCAACGCTAATTTTCCAAGAAGTATTGTATCCAAAACGACATGAGATGGCTTGGAGATACTGAAGATGCTTCTGTCGCGGCTGAGGGTTCCTTCAGTACAAGGGGCTCTTGTCCGTTGAAGACACGATCGCCAGAGAGACAAACATCAGTAAGTTATATGCACAAGGAGGAGCTTTCGGGTCTGCAGGGGTGAGAGTGTCTTGAAACCAGCAACAATCCTGCACCTCACAGTGGCAATCCTCACTCAGCTTTGGCGATTCAACGGACCCAAATTCGCCCTCGGCGATTCGCCAGGAGGAATATACATGCATGGTGGACTGGGACAAGCGGCGGGGGGGAGTAGCTTGGATGCTGAGGGTACTGCTGGGCTCCCACTTGGGCGGTTTTTTTGACGTTTGATTATAGAGCAATTGAAGGGATGAACCTAACACAGTGCACGCATGGTCCTCTACGAAAGAGGCTAACATTGATTTCCATCACCGTAATCGGCTCCTGGGGTGAGGTTGTTGAGTATTGTAATTCAGGGACAAGCCATCCGCATTTGGGTGTGAAACGAAAACGGTTAGTCTGAGGAGCGCAGCTGGTGGAGACTCAAATCCCAGCGATAGCTCCTACTTGTATCCATTGGAAAAAGGCTTAAGCCGATGTATCACATGGCGAGAAGGTCTATGATTCATACATAGGCATGCGCATGCTCCTCGGTCGGTCGCTGGCCAAGCCGAGCGTCATGCTCTTCACCATCCCATGAGAGGGAGCGCTGGCTTCAGGAGATTCTGATTCGCAACTCCACTGCTGGACGCCAAGGAGGACATGGGTCACTCGACGCGGAGATCGGCTTCCGCCCCAATCCATGTTCGAAAGACCCCAGTGTTTTGTTTTTTACGCAGATAGCAACAGCTATGGGGTTCTTACATGTTCTTGCTTCAAGTAACAATGAGCTGGGTGTGCGCATAGTGGAGACATGGTGCCGGTGCTGGGTGGCGCTGGCTGTGGCGCTGGTGCCGGTGCTGTGAGCTGGCTGGCTGTGCGCATGGTGGAGGCATTGCTGGCTGTGGTGCTGGTGCTGGGTGCTGTGAGCTGGCCCTGTGCCTGCGCTGGGTGCCGGTGCTGGGCGCTGTGAGCTGGCTGTGCGCGTGGTGGAAACAGGGTGCCGGTGCTGGTGCTGTGAGCTGGCAGTGCGCGTGGTGGTAACAAGGTGCTGGTGCTGGCTGTGCGCATGGTGGAGACAGGGTGATTGGAAAGCTGGCAAACTGCGGGGCAGTTGACTTTTGGAGCCAACATGGTTGCTCACCCTCTCACGTGGTTGATGGAGCTTTGCGTGAACATCCGTATTCCTTAGTGCCTGAAGATGATGTAACTGTAGAGTTTGACAAAGTGTTGTTTTGGAAGCGGACGTCGAAGGTATGCTCCTTTTTGAAAGTGCGTCACGCATGCTAGCAGGCTTTTGGTAGCCAATCATTCTAAGTGACGTTGCTTTTGGACGTTCCTCCCGCACAGCATCCCATAGATGGCACGCGTTCTTTGCACCCTTTTCCTCCAAACAGCCAGAACATTGCCATTTATCCAGTGTAAAAATGTTACTGTGTGTGCTTTGGAGCTGCTGCAATGCCAATGCAGGGTGCAGTCCAGAAATTTTTGTTTGTTTTTGCTATCTGGGGTCTACGCCGGTGTAGCTTTTTCACAAAGGACTGTTGCGGGTTGCAGATTTTGGGCCCCTTCATTGACTTGCGTAACCCGCAACCCATCTTGCCTGCAATGCTCCTTGCCATCATCTGAAAAAAGACATCAAACAGAACCCAACCCCCCCCAAAAAAAAAACACATTCCTAGACTAGTCCAATCCCAAGAAATAAAAAAACAATCATTTCAGAACTATGCAATCCCAAGAAACCAAACAAAAAAAGATTTCAGAACTATGTTGAAGATTAGACTAGTATGGAATCTTTGTTTGTTTTTTTGGTTTCTTCGCTTTGTCATCCAGGATTAATCTGAAGTAGTCTTCCTCAAGAACCCTACATGTCTGCTCCACTCTCAAACCTTCATCTGCTGCTCATCTGCAGGATTTGGCTCGTTGCTCCTATTAGCTTTCCTCGTCTGCTTTCCTTGCTTCAACGTCATGTCGGATGCCTGGAACCACGCATGTCACATCGTCGCCTTCCACCAACTCCATGAGTTGCCTGAGGTCATTAGCCGCTCGACAACACCAGAAAACGATATTGCAGATCTTCCGTTGAAGCCGGTTCAAGGCAGCACTAAGATCAAGAGTGCGGTGGAGAAGGTTGTCTTTCATCTCGAAAACCAAGAGCAGATGGAATCCATCACGGCCATGGTGCGAGACCAGGAATACCGACGTCTGCCGGAGCCTCTGGCAGTCAAAGGTGACTTGCCCTTGCCCTTCACACTTCAGTTGATCTTCCGGAAGGTTTCTGAGAACAAGTACGACGTCATCAAGCACTTTCGCTTTGCACAGAAGGTAGATGTCCGTCTGCTTGAAGCAATTTCTTCTGGTGACTTGTTCCTAGTGGACTACGGCAAGAACTTTCGTGCAGGTTCCGCAGCCTTCCAATATGTATTGGAACGAGCGGGTCACTTTGCCATTCTTGCTTTCCACTTCACACCGAAGCCTACAAAGAACAAGGAAAAGTCTTCCTTAGAGAAAGGCTTTGCGTACATCAAATCCGATGGTCCCAAGAGTAATATGAACAATCTCCGTGGTGCAGAAATTGAAGTGAATCGGGAAGACAGTCCCATCTACGGATGGTCCGCGGGCTTGGTTAAGGAATCTTTGAAGGGCGATGCCAGTGCGAATGTCTTTGCGCGCCCTACTAAGAACTTCTTCCTCACCATTCACGATCTCAGCGCTTGGTTTCTCAAGGACATCCTCCTTCCACTTCTTGGTGACATGAAGAGCAAGACCCTTGTCTTCCTGGGTATAACGCTGGAGCCGGAAAGACCCCAGCTGCTTCAGCAATTGCAATGGCTTTCTCTGAATATTGACTGCTTCGAAGTGAAGACAAGGAAGACAAACAACCAAGCTTTCGTTTGGCCAGTAGCTTTGATCAGCTTCGAGGAGAACCTGGCACCCGCGAGAGGCCAGATATCTTGGACGATGCCGATACAAGTCAACAGGCATTACCCAAACTGAAGGCTTTTCTCGATAGCTCTCTTGAAGAAGCCTATGCGGTCGAAAGGTGGACTACCACAAAATTTGTGAAGAACGAGCTCAGACTTGTTTGTGACAACAGAGTCAGTGGCAAAGCCGAGGACAAGCCGAAGCATGGCGACGCAACCATTCCCTTCACCACATTCGTGGATCTCATTGCGCCTGCTTTTCCAGAGAAGGCCGAGAAGCAAGACATCCTTGCTTGCCTGAAGCGTGCCCACTTCGTCGTCAACTTGGAGCATGCCATATACATGAGGCCAGCTGGCATTGGTGAAGGCCCTGTGTCTCTTGCGCACTACCCAGAAGATGAGCATAAGATTCCAATGAAGGACTTAAATTTCAGTGGAGGGCAAGGAGGCATTCGCTGCATGAAGGAGGGTGACAAGGTTCCACCGTGATTGGATGTTCAAGAGACAGTGGTCTCATGATCTTGTGGCCATGTGCTTGGAAACCTAGCAGAGAGTTCCAAGGATCATGACTGAGATTGGCCGCCCTCTCTTCGGTGGAGAGCCTTACCGCCGAGAGATCCAGCCACGCCTACCAAGCTCTGGACGCACTTGTGTGCCACCACCTTCTGCCCATGAGGTTTAAGATGGCAATCCACTTCCATCATCATCCAAGTTCTCTGAGCAGCAACACAGCTTCATTGCAGTCAAGAAGCAGCCTGGCACACTCCAGTTCTTGAAGAGACAACCCTCTCGGGTCATTGAGATGCAGCGCCGCATGTCTTTGAATGTTGGGTCTCAGGGCCAGTGGACTGCCATGGCCAACGATGCATGGCGTTTGAAAAGTGAACGGAAAAGATGCCGCGGTCAGTCTCCATCTCCCAACAGCTAGGCTTTGCCTGACATTCCTCGTGAACCTCCGGTGGGCTCTCGACCTGACAGTGAAAGCACCTTGCAAGGTTCTGGCGCCGTGTCCGAGTGGGTGAACCTGCAGCAGCTTCCAACCCTAACACGATGTCTTGGCCATGATGATGAACATGGTTCTGGTGCTGTGTCCAAGGTGGTGTCCCTCAGAAAACGCGCTCCCGTTCTCAGTCTGTGGCTGCAGGTGCTTCATCTTCATCCTCATCTTCCTCACATCATCCTCATCGTGCGCAGGAGCTACTCCTGGAACACCTGAACGAATGCCCTGAATGTCTGGACAACTTGACCTACATCGACGCGCTCCTGAAGAAGGCATTAGCCAATTGAATGTATATGTTGCTGACCTGATGTTAAAAGGGGAGCGCACGCGAGCTGCCTTACTGAAGTTTGTTTTTGTTCACATGCCTTGCATCAACTATGTAAGAAGATTAATCTAGATTAATCATTTGAACCCTGATTTCTGCAACCCACAGCAGTCCCTTCTCAATTTTTCTAACTGGGAACACCATTGGTTTGTAGATGGTTGAAGGGGAAACTACTGTTCTTGCACAAACTCGTTTTTTTAATGTTCATTTTAGTCTCAGCTGTGCCCAGGTTGGTGCAGAACATTCCAGTTGTGGTGTGTGAGCTATTGAAATTGTACCCAGCTTCCATTCTGCGCAAAGACCAGATGGATGTGAAACTTCGATAACGTATACCTCAGACTGAGTTTTTTGGGTGGCTCATCCAAGCTGCACTCAGAACCGTTCACACATAGATTAGTGTGTGTGTCACGAAAAGAAGATGGTGATGCCTTGTGGTTTTAACTTTGGCTGCCAGAGCACGGTAGTCTGGTTTTGTTGTTGAGTTTGTTCATTTCTTGCCAACCAGGATAAATATGTGATATGGTCCCCGAGCAAAAGCAACTCTTGGGCAAGTGTCATGGAAGCATTCTTGTCCCCTGGTATGCAGATCACGAGCCTTTACAGGAGGTGGAATACGAGCTACTATGATTATGACCGTCGGCAAGTTAACCATGGAAGCTGGTCATGCTTCTTGGTTGCAAAGGAATCACAGGTGACCATTGCCGGCCGCTACGATTCAAGTGAAACCGCCACTGTTCCAACATTCAGTTTCCACGGACTCAGCCACCATTCCGTTGCAGCGTTCGTTCATTTCTTCGTGGATTATGATATCGAAAAAACATTTATCTAGGTGTGTGTGTGTGTACGTGTGTGTGAGTGTTTGCCACACCATCAGAACTTTGTGGTTGTTTGCTTCGATGTGTTAATCTATTTCGCTAGTGTGGATCGTTACGAAAAGGTGTGTCTCTTGTTGTGTCCGATGTTCTTGAGGTTTGTTGAGGGAACCTGAGAAGCTTTGTCAGGTTCCCGACTGAGAAGGTTTGTTGTTTTTCGTTCCACTACACAGAACCCTTCTTGCCTGATGTTCTGATTCCAAGACACACTGTGATCTCCGACTGCTCTTCAGTGTCGGCGATTGCTGCTGTTTTCGAGTTGATTGTTTTGGAGATCCAGTGATCAGGAAGATCATGCAGATAATGAAGACCTCCATGGGTTAACATAGTTGGCAGGTCTAGTCTGAGGTGAAGCAGAGATCCATGTGACGTGTCGTTGAACATGTCCTGGAACTACAAACCAGCACCTGGGCTTGCGTAGCAGGTGTATACTCCGCGCACCACTTTTCACCACTAGGGTCCCCGATGATCACCAGAGCTGGTCATCACTTCGATGTTTATCGAATGCTGCAGATTTGATCCACTCGCCCACTCGTTCTTTTCACGACCTGCAAGGCTTCCAAAGGTGGATGCATCACAATCTCTCAAAAACGTCCAACTTTGGCACCTTGGCATCTGGGAGATCTGAGCGTTTAACATTCCCTGAGCCTGATGGGTGCTTTGCAAGGGTCCCCCTATTTTGAGAAACCTGCTTGGATCGAACAGCTCAGGACAGGTTGTCCCGATTCAGCCTGGCCAAGTTCTTGAACACCCTCGTCGAAACCACAGGGTACGATAGCAAGGAGGTGAATGAATTAAAGGAACCAGGCGTGAAAACGAAGCGACGTTTGAGAGAAGTATGACCTGGTGTTGCCTGGTCCGGGCTTTTGGTCCGAAAAACATACCAACATGTGCATGCAGAGAATGGGCCAAAGCCAACGCGCAGTTACAATTTACACAGATTACAATGTGCACATGTGCAACCTCAGCTTGAAATATCATTTGCAAATCGTCAAACCTTTCAATGGTATATAAGTTAATTTGTCCGCCACAAACGATCGCTTGAAGAATTTCCCACAGTCTCACACAGGCTATAAATTCGGAAAAGGATCACCCTGAGCCTGAGACCTCCCAGTGACTCAGGAGATACCTTGAATAGTGAGGACTCTTTTTTGGTGTCAGCGCCGAATCAGCGCCATTGATGGCACCGCGTTTCTTTTTGAACCCTTCTACTTGTGTCATATGTGACCACACAACAGTCATGACGTTCTGGTTTACCGGGGTGGTTGGATGGATGACGCGACCCTTCGGTTGGATCATTTTCATGTCAACGTGTGATGTTTGTTTCATTATTCCCCGCCTGTCAGGTGAGGGTAGTTAGATTCTATGTCAGCTTTCTCCTTCTCCTCCTCGTCGTCCTCCGCCCGACCTCAACCACAACCATTCACGCCCAGTGTTCCCTGCCGGACCTCAACCACGACCATGCATGCCGAGTGTTCCCTGCCAGACCTCAGCCACGACCATCCACGCCCAGTCTTCCCTGCCGGACCTCAACCACGACCATCCACGCCCAGTGTTCCCTGCCGGACCTCAACCACGACTATCCGCGCCCAGTGTTCCCCGCCGGACCTCAACACGCAATTACAAGCAGAACAACAAACACACAACCACAAAAA